GGGCATCTTGGCTGTTTCCATAACTTGGCTATTGTGAATAGTGCCGCAATAAACATGGGTGTGCAGGTGCCTCTGGAGACCTGTGTCACAGTCTTTTGGGTATATCCCCAAGAGTGGTATTGCTGGATCAAATGGTAGATCATGTCCAGCTTTTTAAGTAGCCTCCAAATTTTTTTCCAGAGTGGTTGTACTAGTTTACATTCCCACCAACAGTGTAAGAGGGTTCCTTTTTCCCCCGCATCCTCGCCAACACCTGTTGTGGTGGTGTTGCTGATGATGGCTATTCTAACAGGGGGAGGTGGAATCTTAGTGTGGTTTTAATTTGCATTTCCTTTATTGCTAGAGATGGTGAGCATTTTTTCATGTGTTTTCTGGCCATTTGAATTTCTTCTTTTGAGAAAGTTCTGTTTAGTTCACTTGCCCATTTCTTTATTGGTTCATTAGTTTGGGAGAATTTAGTTTTTAAGTTCCCTATATATTCTGGTTATCAGTCCTTTGTCTGATGTATAGCTGGCAAATATTTTCTCCCACTGTGGGTGTTCTCTTCAGTTTAGAGACCATTTCTTTTGATGAACAGAAGCTTTTTAGTTTTATGAGTCCCATTTATCTATGCTATCTCTTAGTTGCTGTGCTGCTGGGGTTTCATTGAGAAAGTTCTTACCTATACCTACTAACTCCAGAGTATTTCCTACTCTTTCCTGTTCAACTTAAGAGTTTGGGGTCTGATATTAAGATCCTTGATCCATTTTGAGTTAATCTTGGTATAGGGTGATATACATGGATCTAGTTTCAGGTTTTTGCAGACTGCTAACCAGTTTTCCCAGCAGTTTTTGTTGAAGAGGCTGCTATTTCTCCATCGTATATTTTTAGCTCCTTTGTCAAAGACAAGATGGTTATAGTTGTGTGGCTTCATATCTGGTCCTCTGTTCTGTTCCACTGGTCTTCATGTCTGTTTTTTGTGCCAGTCACCATGCTGTTTTTATTGCTATTGCTTTGTAATATGGTTTGAAGTTGGGTATCGTGATACCTCCTGCATTGTTCTTTTGACTGAGTATTGCCTTAGCTATTGTGTTTCCATATAAATTTAACGGTAGATTTTTTCGATCTCTTTAATGAATGTCATTGGGATTTTGATGGGAATTGCATTAAACATGTAGATTACTTTGGGGAGTATCGACATTTTTACTATGTTGATTCTACAATCCATGAGCATGGAGATCTCTCCACTTTCTATAGTCTTCCTCAATCTCTTTCTTCAGAAGTGTATAGTTTTCCTTGTAGAGGTCTTTCACATCTTTTGTTAGGTTTACACCTAGGTATTTGATTTTGTTTGAGGCTATTGTAAATGGAATTGTTTTCATACATTCTTTTTCAGTTTGCTCATTGTTAGTGTATAGAAATGCTAATGATTTTTCTATGTTGATTTTATATCCTGCTACCTTGCTGTAGCTATTGATGATGTCTAGAAGCTTCTGAGTAGAGTTTTTTGGGTCTTTAAGGTATGGGATCATGTCATCTGCAAATAGGGATTATTTTGACAGTTTTCTTTACCTATTTGTATTTCCTTTTATTCCCTTCTCTTGCCTAATTGCTCTGGCTAGGAATTCCAGTACTATGTTGAATAGGAGTGGAGATAGTGGGCATCCTTGTCTGGTTTCCTGATTTTAAGAGGGAATGGTTTCAGTTTTTCTCCTTAAGTATAATGCTGGCTTAGGTTTGTCATATACAGCTTTTATAATGTTGAGGTACTTTCCTTCTATTCCTAGTTTTTTTAGAGCTTTTATCATGAAAATGTGGTTGGATCTTATCAAAAAGCTTTTTTCTTGCATCTAATTGAGTGATAGTATATCATTTTAGATTAAAAACAGCCAGGTGTGGTGGCACACTCCTGCAATCCCAGCATGCAGGCAGTTGAGGTGGGAGGATCACTTGAGCCCAGGAGTTTGACAACAGCCTAGGCAACATAGCAAGACCTCATGTCAAAAACACAAAATAAAGAAAAAAAGTGCAGAATTATATATGTGTATATATTTATGAATGTGTATACACATATGTACAGATACATTATACAAAATAATGCAGTAACCTTCTTGACTTGGCAGATCACAACGGTCACTGCCATGCTCTCTCTGCAGACTGGGTGGCATTTCTTTCACACCACCATCTTTTCTTAAAATGACAGTGTTAGCAGGGAGGATGGTCAGAAGAGAAACAGACAGGCTGTGTTCTGATAATGAGACGGGTAAGGGATGGCAAAGCAGAGAGAAAACTTAAAGAATTGAAACATGAGGGTCACATAGCACTGGGGAACTGAAATAGCCAATGAAGTCACATGCAGCCATATGTGGGTTGAGTTTTGCTTTTTGCTTCTGTAACCTGCTTGCAAGGGTACATAAGGTGAGACCTCTTTGTTCTCGGGGCTTAGCCTTTGGACACAAGTCATCTGGGTCTGTGTTGGCACAATGTTGCTTCTTGCTAAACCCTCAGTGTCCTGTATCTCAGTTTGAGATTCCTGCAACAACAGGAAGTGCTACTTGAATCGTGTCTCTTTAATCCAAAAGTGGAGGAAAATGCTGGAAATTTTTCCTGCTATATTGTCAGGGGCTATTAGACAAATGGATGTTGGGTTTACTCATTTCCATAGATAAACTCTTATTAATAGTTGAAGCTTGGGCTGAGGGTATGGCTCAAGTAGTACAGCACCTGCCTAGCAAGTACAAGGTCCTGAGTTCAATCCCCAGGACCGCCAAAAAAAAGGAAACTTGTACAGAAATAGCAACACATTAATTACAGAATCCAGGCATTTAAAAGGTAATTCATGTTCATTAGCTCCATTTGACCATTCCGCAATGTATACATTTAAAAACATCGTGCTGTGTGCCATAAATACACATAAATTTTATTTGCCAATAAAAATAAAAAAGAATATGGCTCCCATTTGGTAGTTCACACAGTATCAGTCCCCAAGAACTATCCAAGGTTATGTACACATGGAATACATTTTGTCTTAAATGTTTTCCAATTGATGGTAATTTACATATGAAATACATTTAAGCTCACCTGGGTGAGGCCACATTGCCTTCCATTCCAGGCCTGTGTTTTGAAACCGATCTCACCACATAGCTCAGGCTGGGCTCCAGCTAGCCATCCTCCTGCCTCAGCCTCCCCAGGGCTGGGACACAGGTGTGGGCCACAATGTCCAGCTCTGCACTCTACATGTAAGATCAAAATGGCCCATGGTAATGACCCTAAGAAACCTTTAAGCCTGTGTTTCTTAAACTAGGATCTGTGCACACATGTCCAGTTTCCCTGAAACTGTTTTCTCCCTCTTTAAAAGGAGTTTATATTGTACTCAGTTAACAATGGCTGGCTTCAAGTACAGGGGTCATATTGCGTTTCTCTCCCTCCCAGCACCCAGCCCAGCCCAGCACTCAGCAGTGATTAAGGCCACAGAGTTCTGCACAACCCGCAGGTCACACCTGGACCTCTCCCCATGTAAGAGGTGCTTAAACTGCTTTTGCTGAAAAGCACTGACTCCTTACTTGGGCCCAAAATGAACTAAACACAAGAGAAAAGCTTGACATCTCTGTCTCCGTTTTCTACCAGTTGTCCTTTGCTCTGAGCCATTCTCTCTTGCAGCCTCCTTGGAATCAAAGAAGGTCAGGAATGATCCATAACATCTTTATGACAAGGGACCGAAACTTCCCATAAGGAACACTGGAAACTTGCAGGACAGACCACCTCTCCAAATGAGGACAATGACCTATAATGACGAGGCTTCACCCTAGAGCAGGAGGCATCATCTCATGGGAACCAGATGGCTCCCCTCAAGTGATGACAGCCATGAAAAAACTTCTCCAGAACCCTCAGAGAGCAAGAACTGAGAAAATGACCAATCAGGCCACACCTGTGACTGGGGGTGTGCAACTGGGCATACCTTTGTCCCCTGCCCTTAGTTATTTGTCTATTTAAACTATACCTCATGTCTATACCCAAAAATATGGCTGAAGCTGAGCTGAGTGCTTACTTTGCCTCTTCCCAGGGCATGTCCCAGGCCGTCTAATAAATCTTTCTTTGCCTTCACCATCTCTCTTTATTTGGCATAAAATGGCGAGTGGCGAACGTCGTTATGTTGAAGCCCAGATGTTTGGGCCTGGCGTGCAAAATTCCAATTTCACCCAGAGCAATAAAACCTTTATCATACTGACAGAAAACTAATTTTCTAAACCTCAAGAATGTTTTCTAAGCCTGGCATGGTTGGCTCACACCTGTAATCCTAGCTACTCAGGAGGATCGTGGTTCAAAGCTAACAGGGGCAAATAGTTTGCAAGACCCTATCTGGTAAAAACCCGTCACAAAAAAAGGGGGAAGGGGGCTAGCAGAATAGCTCCAGCGGTAAGAGCCCCTGCCTACAAGTGCCGCCCCCTCCAAAAAAAGCTTTCTAAGCCGGGTGTGATGGTGCAGGTCTGTAATCCCAGCACGCTGGCGGTAGGAGAATCATGAGTACGAGGTCAGGCTGAACTACACAGCGAGATCCTCTCAGCAAAACAAAACATGCTTTCTGCAACCATCAAGGTCAACCCCAGTCTCTTCACACATAGGAAAAGGCGATGGGAAACTAGTACCAGAAACGGCAGTGGACCTTCAGCCACCTGGCCCAACCGCGCTGCCTGTTTTCCGCAGCAGGAGCCGCCTCGGCCCATCATTAAGAACCGTAATCCGAGACCCCACAGACCATCCCCGCCCCACTTCCGCCGTCCCTGGCCCCCAGCCGCCCTCGTATCCCCTCCACGTCGGCTCGCCCGGCTGCACTCCAGGTCTTCATCAGCATTCCACCTGCGCTAACCCAACCCGACTGCTCGCAAGCTGGGAGGCCAGCGAGACAGTAGCAGCCACAGCGCAGCCCGCGCGCACGCGCGCCTCCCGCGGCTGCGCAGACGAACCCGGCGCATGCGCCGCGCAGCTCGGCGCGCGTCTGTGACGTCAAGGGCGGCACCGTCTCCGAGCTCCGCGCGTCTCCGAGGCCGCTGCCCGCAGGAGTGGGCTCGCCTGGTGGGTCACGTGTACCGGCGGGCCTGAGGCGCAAGGAACTTTTCCAGAGAAAACTTTTTCAAGAGAGGCTCCTGGCGGCTGAAAGCGACTGAGCAAAGAGAAGAGAGGAAAAGTGAGCGACGCCAAAGAGAGACGTCATCAGAGCGCACCGGAAGCTGTCGGACCATGAAGAGTAAGCGGGGCTGAGGGCCTCGATATGGGGCCGGGGTGGATATAAGTGTGGGGAACTTGATGCTGCTGGATGCGATGTGTCAGGGCTACCTGTCGCGGCAGAGTCCACGGGAACTGTTCCGCCTTACGTTAAAAAAAAAACGGGTGGCCAGCTGGGCTCCGATGGCTCACGCCACCGAGACCCTAGCTACTCAGGAGACAGATCGGGGGGATTGCGCGAGACCCTCTCTTGTAAAAAACCCATCACACAAAAAAAGGGCTGGTGGAGTGGCTCAAGGTGTAGGCCCTGAGTTCAAGCCCCAGTACCGCAAAAAGAAAGAAGAAACTGAGCCCCAGACCGCGGGCTGACCTGGGCTTGAAGGTCCGCAGAGGGCGGGTTCTTGGGGGAGGGGCCTCCGAGGTCGTGACCCGGCCAGGGCCCCGCCCCCACCGCCGCCAGGCTCTTCCCCCGCCTCCTGTGCAGCTGGGAGTGATGTCACTAACCCAGGCCTTGAGATGGAGCAGAGAAGGGGTGCACCAAGGGCGACAGCTGTAGGAGGCAGTGTGGACGCCATAAAGATGGGACTTCGGGTCGGATGGCTTCCACCCCCTGCCACCGCCATGTGTCCCGCATATCTGGACTCCAAGTTTCTCATGTGCACAGTAACTGGATCGTTCAGGAAGTGTGATGACAAGGAAAAAAATTTTTTTAATTTAAAAAAGGAAGTGTAATGAGATGCATGTATAGATACATATATGTATATACATATATGCGCAATGCATCCCAGGCCTTGCAAGTTTCTCCTTGCAAGCAGGCTGGAGTCTCCACCTGTCATCTGAGAGAGAGCTAGGTTCTGTAGATGAGCCTTGTAACCACCCTGGTTTGCTTGAACCACAGCAAGCAGCAATGACATTTATCTCATGTGGTGTGAACTATATTTTCTGGTTCCTTGGCCCTTAAACAGGCCTTTGTCCCCATTCTTCTGTCCCTCATTCACACCCATACTCTGTCCCCAGAACTGTGATCCTCCTACCTACACCTCCCACATAGCTGGGCTTATAGGCGTAAACCACCATGCCCAGCTGGAAAATCTTACAGTCAGCAAAATATTTCCAGCCGTCTGCACCCTGAACAGCCACCACGTAACTTTTCAGTGAGTCCATTAGACTTAGCAACTGCTCAAGCTTTTAACTGTGTTCTTCAAGCCAAGACAGCTGTCAGTGTGACCTGCAGTAGCATCTGTGAACTCGGTAGAAGTGAGGGTCCGGGTAGGGACCGCATGTTTGTTTTAGTAAGACTCCAGAGGGTCCTAGACATATTGAAGTTTGAGAGGCACTCCTCAAACCACACGCTTAAAGCTTCTAGGATTAGACATGGCCAGTGGGCAGGAAAAGAGGCATCCAAGAGGGCCGGGGGTGTAGCTTAGTCCTAGAACTGCATGGCACACTAGAGGCCCTGGGTTCCATCTTCAGCACTGCAGAAAAGAAGAAGGGGAAAAAAAGGCATCTGATAAGCCTACCTGTTTTCACAGGTAGGAAAGCCTTGAGTACAGGGCCTATACCCAGCAGGAATTGATCATTTCTTCTTTTTTTCTTTAATCCCCCAGGTGTGATCTACCATGCCTTTTCTCAGAAAGAGGCAAAGGAGTATGACTTGCAGGTACAGTTTTTGGCAGGAGGTCTGGGAGCAGCAGAGGTGGTGGCAGAGATGGCCTGGTAGCTTCTAAGCCTTTTCTTCTGGTTTCACCTCTCTTTCCCGTATCTTACTCTGTCAAGGTCTGTGATGCTGACATCACCACATGCCAGCCTCCTGTCCTGTTGTGCCAAAGTCAGCCGTGATGAACTTGACCTCCACAAGCACCTGGCCTTTTAGTTTTCCCTAGCATTAGGGTCCTTTCCCTCACAGCCATGACGTGGTTCTCTGCTGAGTCACTTTCACGTGCTCATGACTGGTTAGGTATCTTAGGCATATATTGCTCGGGCTTCCTCCCTGCCCAGGATGAGTGCAGTCTTCTTCCAGATACAAAGGCGTGTGTGTGTGTGTGTGTGGTGGTGGTACTAGGAGTTAACTCCACTTCCTGCTTGTTGGCTCTACCACTTGAAGTATACCCCAATGTGGTTATTTTTTAGATAAAAATATGCCTAGCCAGCCTGGATCACCATACTTCTGTTTGTGCCTCCCTGTGTAGCTGGCCCAGTCATTGCTGGAGATGGGGTCTTGCCAACTTTTTGCCCAGGCTGGTCTCAAACCACAATCCTCCCAATCCCCACCTCCTACCAAATGTGAAGGCTTTTTATCCTCAGCAGAATAACTGAGAGAAGCAGGACAGGAAGTCAGTGGTGGACATGGCTGTGACAAAGTGTCAGGGTTGGCACGTGGATGTGGCTTTTACATGTTAGCAGCTGTTGGTGGCAAACACTTGGCAGGGGGACTTGTGGTGAGCCTCGCTGGGTGGTGGCAGGTCAGTGAAGACAGAGGCTCTTGGGAGTGGCCCAGACTAGAGCAGTGACCACACAACGGGTGTCCCCCTGTAGCAGCCCGGAGCCCAGCGGGCGGAAGCCTTCTGAGGGCCTTCTTGAAACGAAGCATGCCACGTGAGCCAGCGAGCCTGTGAGGACCAGCTGCAGCGCAAGGGCCGTCGTCCTGGAGTACTTTCAACTCGCCGGAAGCAAAAGGAAAAAGCTGTGACAAAGTGTCAGGAGTTGGCACGGTGGATGGTGGCTTTTTACATGTTAGCAGCTGTTGGTGGCAAACACTTGGCAGGGGGACTTGTGGTGAGCCTCGCTGGGTGGTGGCAGGTCAGTGAAGACAGAGGCTCTTGGGAGTGGCCCAGACTAGAGCAGTGACCACACAACGGGTGTCCCCCTGTAGCAGCCCGGAGCCCAGCGGGCGGAAGCCTTCGTGAGGGCCTTCCTGAAACGAAGCATGCCCCACGTGAGCCAGCGAGCCTGTGAGGACCAGCTGCAGCGCAAGGCCGTCGTCCTGGAGTACTTCACTCGCCGGAAGCAAAAGGAAAAGAAGAAGTCCAAAGGCCTATCTGCCAGGCAGAGGAGAAGCCTAAGGCTGTTTGACATCAAACCTGAGCAGCAGAGGTAAGCCCACCCCGGCTAGGAGAGCCTCTCCACCGTTGGCCACGAGGGGGCAGCCTTCCTTTACTCAATGCTGCTGCCTTTGGGTTTGGCTTTCGGTAGTCCATTCTCTCCCAGTCTGCCTCCTGTCCTGACCTCAATTAAAAAGAAGGATGCCTCAGTGAGTCTGGTACCTATGGCAACTGGCTGTTTTGTCTCAACTTTCTTAGAAAAGAGGAACGGAACTGCTATTTCTTAATATATACCGTACAGTTTTTAATATCACTAGTCAGAGTCACCCAGGCAGGGCTATCACCAAGGAAGGTGCTGCCCACACGTTTTGGAAGCTTCTGACTAGAATGCGTCACCATGTGGTGGGAGGCCTCCCTCTGGCTGACACCCACCCACCCCTTCTTGAAAATGACAGGTCTCACAACTGTTTACGGGCTTTTGCTTGGAGACTTGTAGCCAGATGGCCTTCTTATCCCAGATGACAGTGCTGTGGGCCACAGTGCCCGACCTCTCAGGAAACGCCCTGTCTCCAGCAGAGGAAGTGGTTACTGCTGCTCTGACTGCTCGCTAGGGTCCTGGGGGCGGAGTTCGTTGTGGCCTTGAGGTTGATGGCATCATGTTAACAGAGTCCCCACAAGGCACCAGTAGAGTGGTAATGGCCCCAGATGAACCCCACCCCCACCTCCACTGCTCACTCACCTGCCACACAGCCCTGTTACCACACCTGAGGGTCCAGAGTCAGCTGCTCCTGCCACTAGGGCTCACTCGGTGCTCTTCCATGTGACAGAAAGCCTCACGGTATCAGTGCCTTAAACAAGACTAATGTTCATCTCCCTCATGAGAAGAAGTCTGCGTGAGCAACACCTGGGTGGCCATAGCCATCAGACCCTGCCAGGCAGCTGTCACCACCTTCAGCTGCTCCTCACAGGCTGGGACTCTTCCAGCACTCCAGTCATCATGGCTGCATTTTGCCCGCAAGAAGGGTGGGCAGGGAGAGAAGGGCCTCTCTTTCTTTTTCCTGATAGCAGAAACCCAGCCTCACAAAGGTTCTACCAGTGAGGAGATCGAGGCTTGAAAAGACAAGTGGAGGTGCCACACCCCACCCATCCCTGTGTCCCCAGGCCTTTGTTCCTGGCATCAGGCCAATCTTGTGCTTTTCAGACACTGACCCCCACCCCGCAAACTGATGTTTAACCTTCACCCGTTTCTGATCTTGTTATAGGTACAGCCTTTTCCTCCCTCTGCACAAACTCTGGAAGCAGTACATCCGGGACCTGTGCAATGGTCTCAAGCCAGACACGTGAGTTGTGTGTCCAAGACTGTGTGGGGCCGTCCCAAGCCCAGGGTGTTGTATTACAGGGAGCCTTAGCAGCCAGCTGTACGCACTGCCTGGCCACACATTTTCGGGCTTGGTTCTCCGTTTGAAGCTTTATGGTTTCTCTGTTCCACACAGGCAGCCACAGATGATTCAGGCCAAGCTGCTGAAGGCTGACCTTCATGGGGCTCTGATTTCAGGTAATTTGCAAAGAGCACAGGGTCATCTAGATGCACCCAGTGGTACTCCCCAGCAGCGACTGCTTGTGGAGTCTCCAGATCCCCGCACCAGGGTCGGAGAGGGACGCACTCCAAACCCTCTGCGGGCCTCTGCATGCAGTCTGCTGGCCCCACCCTGGCCAGGAATCCTGAGCAGAGTGCCTCTCATCCAGTCCCAAGGTTCCAGCGTCAGCTGTAACAGCCCTCCCAAGTTGACTTCTGTAGTTAGACCTTCCCCATTCTCCACCAGATGTAACCTCTTGGTGTACAGGAAACTCCTCATCCTCTCCCTGTCCAAAATGGAACTCTTGTTCCTCCTCAGGTCCGTCCTCCCCTGGTCTCCCCCATCTCCATCTTGGTTAACGCAGCCCCTGTTTATCCTGATTCAGCCCCCCATCCTAGGAAGTGTGCGAGTCTCTCTTACCTACCCCTACGAGCATGTCCTAGTACCCGAATCCAAACACCACCATCTCCACTGAAGCTGACGCCCCCCACACATACACCCATACCACAGCCAGTGTGAAGGCCTTATACAGGAATCAACCATGTCCCTACTTCACACTTTGTGGCAGCTTCCCATCCTGTGAACATAAAACTCTTGGGCAGCAGGTCTGGCCACACTGACCACCTTTCTGCTTCTCACACTAGGTGTGGCTGCCTCACTTGTGGTTTTGCGTGTGCTCCTTGTACCTGGAGAGTTCTGCGTGCTCCTGCACTGACTTCTCTGCTGTTATTTGAGTCCCTTCTCATATGTCACTTTCCCCGAGAGTCTTAAAAGTGACCTCTCCACCCTTTGGATGCATGTCTTCTTCCTCAGCTAGCTCAGAGGAGGCCAGCTCCCACCCCTCAGGCTGGCTAGCTGTGGCTGTCCCAGCACTGTAATGATTTTCTCCTTTGCAGTCACAAAGTCCAAGTGCCCCTCCTACGTGGGAGTGACAGGAATCCTCCTGCAGGAAACCAAGTATGTTTTCAAGATCATCACCAAAGAAGATCGGCTGAAAGGTGTGTGTCCATGTCCCTGGGGACACATGGGCTTCAGGCCCTCCCCACACCGCCTCATCCCTCTTTCTGTTGCTCAGGGATATCCCTGGGCTGTGGAGTCAGGCAGCTGCAGATTCTTACTGACTCCCTTAAAGACTGTAGAGACCCCACTCTTTGTCTCTAGCAGGAAGATTGGAGGGTGGAGCTGTTGCCCTCTACCTGCCAAGGTCACTGCCTCCCAGACTGAGTGACTAAGCCAGCAGCATAGGAAACCAAAGTAGCATCTGTCCCTGGGGCCCTGAGAACCACACTCTGTACCAACACTGTGGCCAGCATCAAGAGCAGACACTTGGGGTCCTCCGGGAATTCTGTACCCACCTTACCACAAACCCAGACACTTCAAACAGCAGTTGGCAGGATTTGTTCCTTTTGTTTTGTTTTGTTTCCAGTGCCGAGGAGGGAACCCAGGGCCTTGTGCAGGACTGCACAGCTCCACTCCAGACCCTGTTCTTTTTTTGGCAGAACTGGGATTTAAACTCGGGGCCTCCAGCTTGCTAGGCAGGAGCTTTGCCATCTGATCTTGAATTTGGAAACTTGAGTACTCTCACTGCTTCCTTCCATTTTCTGCCTATTCTGTTCACAGAAGGTGGTTCACAGACGCTTCCCCTAGGGCATAAGTTGGCCCAAGGAAGTTATGTAGGAAAACCTGTTTCTGCAGTTGATCTGAGAACTCTGGCTCTGGAGTTTGGTTCCAGCCTCTGACCCTGACAGTCAGGTGCTGAGTTATATTTAGAATTTGGCTAATGTGGCCATAGGGCAGGATGACCTGTGTGATCCTGGGCTCCCTTCCTGGGTTTCCCCACTTCCTATCTGCTTGGTTTTTGGTATTTTTTTTAATACAGATATTTTATGAGTGACGTTTCCCAGAGGTGAGTTTACTGTGACTTTTTTTGTTTTGGTTTTTGGTTTTTTTTGTTTGGTTTCAGTCATTCCCAAGCTAAACTGCGTGTTCACTATAGAAGTGGATGGTTTTGTTTCCTGCATTTACGGGAGCAAGTTCCAGCTCCGGTCAAGTGAGCGGTCTGCCAGGAAGTTCAAGGTGAGGGGGACAATAGACCTGTGAGTGCTTTGCCACTGAGGCGGCCACATGGCCAGTGAGGACTGCCAACGCCCCATACCCGCCTTTCAGTGGAGGGCTCTGCTATAGACCAGGCCCAGCCAGGTGCCTGCAATGACGTGCGGAGACACACAGCACATGGTGTGCACAAGTCAGGACTGGAGAAATTGTCGTTTTAAATTTCCAGCAATGCCCAAGAGAAAAGACTGGCAGAAGACATTAACCCTGGCTGACGTAAAGAGTGTGACTGTTAGCATGCATCTTTTCATACTTTTGCATTTTCTGATGTTCTGTGTGATGAATCCATTTTTTATGTAATGATAAAATAAACTTGTGGGCATAAACAGGCTGCAAATAAAAGAGCCATTCCATAGCTCAGCCAGGTTGAAAGGGGAGGGTGCCCAGAGGCGCACCCACATCGGGCTTTAAATCATCCTGTAGATGCTGCCTCTCAGTGGTCAGTGTGTCTGTAACATTTCACTTTGTATTGCCACCACCAGGCTGCAGGCTGTGCCAAGGCTGACCGTGCTGTTTCAGGACATCGGAGAGAGGTGAATAGGGAGGTTGCTGAGTGACAGGGCTCATTCTCTCAGGAATTAGAACAGGGTGGCCAGATGCAGGTTTGTTTGTACTAGTTAGCAAGATTCCAGTACAGGTGACTAATCCTATAACAGCACTCTCCTTCCTGAGTCCAATGGGCTGCAGAGGTAGCTTGACCACATGCCTCTCTAAGGTCTAACCCGCTAGGAGTGCCAGCATCCATAATAGTGGCACCTGTTGACATCTTAGCTCTATTTAAGCCTTGGTTTTTTCAACCTGACTCTGGAAGGTCAGAAGAAGACCTTCTGCGTAGGACCAGGGATGCTCAGGCCTGAGGCCAGTGCGAGAAACATGGAAAAGGCCAGCCCCCCATGCTGACATTAGGAAAGCCACACAGGTCAGAACAGTGGCTCAGAAGGACCGTTACCCCTTCCTTTTGGGAACAAGTGTCTACTGACAAAGAGGGAGGGCAGAAGCAGATCCAGGTGCTGCTTCTGTCAGGGAAGAGGCTGTGTTCGCCTCTGCCTGTCAGAAATGGTGTGTCAGTAAGCACTGACTTCTTTGTGTCAGGAAAGCAGAAAGTCCAGTGGCTCAGCCTGGCCTGCCGCCATTGGGGTGTGATGCTCACTGCTCACCAGATGTCTCAGACAGCTCAACTACTCTGTCCCATCAGCATACAGCCCATGGAGCAGAGACCACATGAGCCAGGAGACAGCCCAGCCCAGATCAGCTGCAGACAGGGGCACCTGGCATGGTGACTGCATCCCAGGCTGTGGCTGTTCCATGTGTAGGACTGGCCGTGATTATTGCCCAAGCATCATGAGTGGGATAATGGGACTGAACCCAGAGGTCCGGCTGGGGAGCTCTGCTCACTGTGGGGTGGCTCAGTATGCACGTGGTGTACTCCCTTCATGACCTGCTTCCCACTGCAGGAATCTCTGTTCTGTTTTCCCGGCCATCTGAGTGCTACATGTATAGATACCTAGGTGCTACAGCTTCCCTAGCCGCCCTTGTCCCCACGCCCCTGCAATGTAAAAGGCACCCAATGCTGTATAAATACACAGTTGCTTTCCAGAAAAGTTGTCAGTACCACTTGCCATGTGAAATCTGTTTTTGATTTGGCACACACTCAAGTGTGAGTGGCTGTTTGATTCCCACACTTGTTTCCTCCATGCCAAAGGAGACTTAGTAAGATGCTCACCTGCCATGTTTGCCAGGCATGGTCCTCCCAGGCAGAGGGCTCCGGTCCTAATGACACTGTACTGACTGCTGCCCAAAGCAGGAGTGAGGAACAGGGATGGTCATGTCCCTGCAGGCTGCAGCTAGGGGCTTGTCATGGAGGGAAAGAGGTACTAAGTGATCTTATCTGTCCCCACCCCCTGAGCAGGACTGCAGGAGAACCCCAGCCTTGCTATACAGGCCCACACACCACAGCTAACTCTGCCTTATGTAAACCAGGAACCCAAGAAACTTGTACCCCAGAGAAGGGCCAGAGAGGCCTATGGACAGAGTAGTTCTCACTTCAGGATAGGACTGTGCCGGGAGGCCACAGAACCAGAAGACAGCCCAGTGACACACTGTTCTCCAAAGAGTGATCAGGTCCTAGGGCCCTTTCCAACTCCAGGGTCAAGACACAGCTGCTGCTCAGCCTGCAGAGGGAAGCCAGAGCCTGGGGACGAGGGGTGGGAAGATGAGGCACATGGAGGAGAAAGGGTAGCACACAAGGGTCATGGCGGGTCAGTCTGTCTAAACCCATGTAACAAAACACCACAGATCCAGAGCTTCCAATCAACAAGTTGATTTCTTCTACACTCTGGAAGCTCAAAGTCCAAGGTGAAGGTGCTGTCCAGCTTGGTTTCTGATAGAAGGGTTGTGGCTTGCAGATAGCCACCTTCTCACTATCTTCTTGTGCTGTGTCCTCTGTGTGCAAGGACAGCACAATCTCCAGGGTCTATCTCAAAACAACAGACATTGGTCCTATGGGATTAGGCCACCCAGTGGCCTTAAAGACCCTGTTTCCAAATAAAAGTCATATTGGGGGATAGGGCTTCAACTTATGAACTTCAGGGAGTGCACAAGTCCATCCATGAGAACCATGAGGACTTCCCAGCCAGGACAGACTAGTGCCTGCATGGAAGGCCCCAGTACCCAGCTGGTCCCTCCTCAGCCACTGGCCTGGTTTGCCTGCTCCAGCAGCCAGTCCAGCCAGCCTGAGCTGGCCCTTCTAGGCCCTTCTAGCAAGTCATGGGTTGCATGGCTTGCTCACACAGGACCACAGATCTTTGCTGCTCCACACAGTACCCAGAATCCAGAGTTGCAAAGTTCCGCCTCACCTTTGCAAATAGCTGAGCCCCTCCCTCCCCTCTGGCCTGGGGCCAACACAGTCTGGTCAAAGGAGGAAATGTGCAGTGTGGACAGAGGAGGCTCCAGGAGCGGGCAGTTGTGGGTACAAAGAGCATGAGGTTCTAGGACCACAACCTACGGAGCCCAGAAAGTGGGAGGAAGGTGAGAAGGAAATGTGGGTCTCAAGCCCACAGGAGGTGCCTGAGATTCTACCCAGCTCATTAATGGCAGGGAGCCTAGGCATATGCTGCTGGGAAGTCTAATCCATGGGGCAGGACTTGGAATTCTGCCATCATTCACCAGGTCCTGAAGTCCTGAGGCCTCAGTGTCACCACCTATCAGCTGGGGCCGTTGGAATAAACCAGCTTCCTGCATCAGATAACTGGCCGGAGAGCCTGTCAATCACAGCGGGGTCTGCTCTGCACCTCAGCCCCACTGAAGCCCATGGGGTGGGACCTGGCTCGCTGTGCGCTCATCCAAGACCCCAGCTACTTCATGTTTGAGGACTGCAGCCTCCAGATGGTATCTGATGGCCTTGCCAGCTCTGAAGTCTGACCTGTGAGTGAGGATTTGGGGCTCTGGGGTCAGTATTTTCTAGATGCTGGAAATGAGCATCAACTGGGCTGGTGGTTCTGAAGAGTAAACATGAATGTTCTCAAAGCTATAAATTATACTAAAAAGCTTTCTTTCTGGACAATGGCTTTAGTGTTCATTTAGTTTGCATTTCTTCACTATAATGCCTCATTAAGACATCTGTTAAATGTCTATAATATTAATTGAATAGAGGGGGGTTCTAATAGAACCGTATTGGAATTGTCCATTTAATTAACCTCATGGGCCTTTAATGGCTGTCTTAAATAGACATCATTAACAAGAGTGCCAGACAAATTAAAATTAGAGTCAATAACAGTCTTGGTAATTTTTCTTGAGCTGTGAAGGACAAGCGTTGCTAAGCAGACAGGCACAGAGTCCGCTGCCTGCAGAGGAGTGTCAGAGCTGCTGTCCCAGGGGGAAGCCAGAGTGTACAGGTGCCAATAGGGGTCACCATTCCGTGTCCTGGTGAGGAAGGCATATGGAGAGAGAGAGAGGGACTCTCCCGGAGACTCTCACTAACTCCAGGTATTCATGGTGCGTGGCATTGTGACATGGCACCTGGATCAAGTGTGCTGGAACCAGATAGAAGGGTCAACTTGGTGGGGATGGGTGGGTACAGCAGGACAAGATGGAAAATACTACATTGCTTTGCCTCCATGGGTCCTCTCAAACGATGCCTCGCTGCAGCATCAGTGCTAGTTCTCCATCTTTATCCTGTCTGACCTGTCATTTCACTGAGATGCCTCTAACCCCCCACTCTCCCCCTCCCCCCATATACTGACCCTATCGTGACAGATGTTTGATGAGTGTTGAGGGAGTGGAAGATATTCCCCTTGACACTTGTGTGTCCTGTGGTCATCCTAACCCAGAGCTGTTGACTTTCCTCTGCAAACCACGCTCCCTCCCCTTCAGAGATAGGCATTGTCATCTGTCTGTCCTTCCATTGCAAAACCCATCCCAGCCGAGGAACCTGTGACATGGCATGCCTACCACTCCCGTGCTTAAAACTCACAAGTGACTTCCCACTGCACTGAAGTCAAGTCATGCTCCTGACCAACACAGCCAAGGCTCTCACCACTCAAAAATTCCTCTGCTCCCCTCAGAGTGTGCAACTGTCATTCCTTCTTCAAACTCAGCCCCTTCTCCCCACCAGTTACTCTCTACCATATTACCTCACCTTATGACTTCTGCAGCCCTGCTCTGTATCTAACATGATCCCATCCACTGGCTTATTGTCATTTTGTTGCACTAGAACATACCCTGTTGCCATTGTAACCCAGTGCAATGAACCTTGCTTTGCAGGTGCTGGGCACTGTGGAGTACCCCTGTAATTCCAGCACTGGGGAAACAGAGACAGGACAATCACAAGTTTATGGTCAACCTGGGTTATATAATGAATTCAAGGCTAGCCTGGCTACATAGCAAGACCCTGTCTCAAAAAAACAGGGGCTTGGAGTGCAGCTCAGTGGTAGCATACTTGCCTAGTATGCTCAAGGCCCTGGGTTTGATCCCCAGCACCGCACACACACACACACACACAAAGTGCTCAGTATATGTTGTTTGACCAAGAGAAAAAAAAAAGAGCCGAGGGTGTGGCTCCATGTGTAAGGCTTTGTGCACATAGCAGCTGTGACGACAGCAGTGACCTCCATCTGGCCCATCCACAGCACAGCTGCCCCACCCACCCCTCCATGTGCCAGGCACCCCAGCTAACAAGTGTCCCCAGGTGCCAAGCAGTCCTGCATCATCGCCCCGCCCTCCAGCTACGCAGACCAATGAACCTATACCCCATATACAGCTGTGACAAGCGGCAGTGTCCACCATTCCAGGGTGGAGCTCTTGGCTCTGAGGGTCAGGAGATGCAAGACC